TAAAAAAAAAAAAAAAAAAAAAAAAAACCCAAAAAAAATTTTAAAAAAAAAAAAAAAAAAAAAAAAAAAAAAAAAAAAAAAAATAGTTATTAACTGACCAAGACACTATGCTGGGTCCTGGGGACACAGGGAATAATATGACACAATTCCTGCCTCCAACGAGCTCACAGTCCGGTACAGAAAGTAATAATGTAAACGATAAATGACACTAAGTGCAACAGCAGAATAAGACTCAAAGCACAGAAGTAGTACAGGCAACAGACTGATGAACTGTCTGGAGTGCAGGGGGTGGTATGAGAAAGCTTCACAGAACTGCTAGGCTTGGAAAGATACAAGCTTCTCTAAACAGAGGGACCAGTACATGCACTTTCATGGAAAACACATGTGGAGATTTCAAGAGTGTACTGGGAGAAAAGTACAATCAGTAATTAAGGTGGTGAGTGGCCAAAGGAAAAGCTAAATAACATAGATCATGGAAAGCCTTGCATGGTCCCTACCTTCTTTGTGACATGGGCCTCATCCTATAAGTGGCAGGAATTTGTGTCTTATCCTATTATTGACAAGAAGTCATCGAAAAGTTTTAAACCAGGGAGAAGAGGGCACAATCATATTAGAGTTTTGACAAGATCAAAAGGCATGCACTGATAACATTATATATTAGCTTTTCTACAATGCTAGCCAAATTCCTTTTCATTCTTTGTGGTTTGTCTACTTTCAGAAGAAATGATAGGCTCAGATTAGAGGGGTCCGGGGCACTGGGTAAAGACCGGCTGCCTAATGGCAGTCACACCTGGTCAGTTACAGGGATGCTGGGAAGCTCGGCGTGGACAGGTGGAGAGCGGGCAGGCAGACAGGGGCCTACTCTCAGCACATAGATGCCAATAAGTTTCAGAAAAGTTAGCTCACACACATGAGCTTTTGGAAAAAGTTAGCAAATTTCCCTAAGGCAAAAATGTAGCACATTACGCATTTGAATATGCAGACCTCAAAAATCTAATTGGATATGAAATAAGGAAGGCCTATTCATTTCTTTTTTTTTTTTTTTTTTTTTGTCTTTTGTCTTTTTTCCGTGTCCGGCAATGGATCGCAACCCTCAGTGTTGCCCCCGTACCGGACCGGGGACCGGCAACGGGATTGCAACCCTCAGCGTCGCCCCCATGCCTCGCTCAGCCAGTGAGCGGGAACCGGTCTGTATGTGGGATCCGAACCCTCGAGCGGGAGCGCCACCGCGCTTCCCAAGCGGCGCACTATCCAGTGCGCCACCGGGCCGGCCCTGGCCTATTCATTTCTGATAGCAGAAAACAAGCAGTGTTCTACAAACTAAACTTGTAAAAACAGTACCTCTTATGATACCTTCAGAATATCATTATTTCTAAATCTACAAAATCGGATCTTCAAGATGAGTAAAAGTTTAGGAAGCTTGGTATCTTTTAAAAATACTTCAATCTAAAAATATAGACATTCCCCCTAAATGGGGATCAGCAAATCACAATTTCCAGAGTGAATACTGTTGGCTCCCAGTCTAATGCAACTAGGAGGAGACCACTTTCCCAGAATACATGCTTTTTTAAAAAATCAATTCGCCAATTAAATTGAAGTAATTCTCTCTGAAACTATTTCCCTTGCTCTTTCCTCTACCCTCACCTCTGCCTAATTCACCCCCAGCACAAACACCTGTCAAGCTACTTAGAGCAGGTACAGAGCAAAAGGGAGAAATCTACGGCTGCAAGGGCTTCTATAGACTAGACTCACCTAAACTCCACAGACTCCTAGAGTAAATGAACTATTCTGATAGCACCCCCTAGTGACCAAAAGCACTTTCCTGACCAAAGGAACCCTACATTACAAACTGACTAAAAAACAAAGCATTTTAAATAAAAAAGTAATGAAAACATGAATGAGCTTGCACTCTGGGAACACATGCCCCGATTACAGTCCAAACTAAATGGACAACTTCAATCTCTCTGGCTCACTGTTGTCTCAGCTCTAAATAGGAAAAACAGCATCCTCAGCCACCATTGTCCTCCTCCCTTTGACCACGTGAGTTCCTCAATAAGATATATTACCAATACCTGGGGCTGTTTTAAAGAAGAGGATGGGAAAATTGAACACAAAGCAGTAAGAGGACATGTGCTCTCAGGACTGCTTGAATCACCAGGAGTATTTTATATTAGATCCATGATAATCACCAGGAGTATTTTATATTAGATCCGTTACGTGTGCTAATTGTTGTAGAGGTTGGTTCACTTCTCCATAGTTATCATACACTTGGATTCCCTCCCACCTCTCTTTACCCAGCTCTGAGAACTGCAGAAACCAAAGTACTCTCTGGAAATAGCCTGCCACCACCCAGAACTGTATGAATTTGACCACAGAATACTAGAAGATCTCCAATCCTGGCTTCAAAATTGAGACTTCTGTTTTTCACATTAATTATGTTAAATACAAATGTTAGATTACTTTGATTTGTTAACAGAAAATATAATTTAAAACAAAAGTGGTAGTAATAACATTACTTAAACCATCACCCTTCAGTCCCCTGCCTGATAAAATAATACCCCAACTGACTAAGGTGTCTAGTGTTCATGGCCTAGTACAAACCTAACATATCTTTGATCCTCCTAACTCCACGTCTGAGACCTTCAACAAAGCCAAAACTTTTTTGCTCAGTTAAGTTCCACAACCACACAGACTTAAAACCCATTGCTGCCCTCTACTGGGCAAGCTTGGAACAAAACTAAAATCCACCCCCTGTTAATCATTTGAAATAACCCTATTTCTTCTCTGGTTCCTTGATAGTGGAGAACCTTCAATATCTTACAAATTAATTATAAGATTCCAGGAAGGAAAAGAAAAAGCAATTTTGCAGAAACTCAGAGTCATTTTACCTCTTTATCAACTAAAAGTACAGACTAAATGGTAACAAACTGGAAGACTGGCTTCGGACTTTGCTACTATATGACCATGTGGCCTTGGTCAAGGTTCAATCACCCTAGGTCTCAATTGTCAGGTCTGCAAATTGAAGAATAGTCAACCAAGAGATATTTATGGTCCTTCTCAATTTTAAAGTCCTGTTAACCTTTAAAAATAGTTTAACCCACTTTTAATATTTGGTTTTTCTTTTCCACTCATATTTCAAAATATTTATAACTTTATTTTCTTAACTATTCTTAATAGTCTAACATATCTTATCCTCTGGTCTATCTTATCCAATATATCTTATACTCAGGACTGCATGGATTGTTGTAAGGTCGCAGTAACCGAGATAAATGGGAACCAAGTATCTAGCATGATGCATGAAGCTGCACAATAAATATTATTTTTCTCTTTCATCTCCCCACATCTTCCCATCTACCAGCTCCAGACCTTTCCCATACCTGTCGCACATATGCTACACCCATGCCATAAAGCATTTCTTCTCTACTACTCTTCGAGTTTTGCACATCTTGTGATGCTTGCACTGTGTTCCCCACCAAAAGGCCAGTCTCACTGCCTGGACTGTGTCCTTGTGTCTGTCTGCACCTCAGTGCCCACAATTGGCAGTGGTGGTCGTAATGGTAGCTGCTGTCACAGCAGTGGTGCCCACAGCTGCAGCAGCAATCATAAAAGTTCCAAAAGCAATCATGACGTTATAAGAACAAAACTATAAAAATAAAAGCAAAATGTTTATAAAATATGATAAAATTTACTCTAATGAAGACAATAACTGCGTCATTTATGGAGCATTTTGTCCCAACCACTGAGCTATACACTTCCTTTGCACTACCCAATTTAGTCCTCCCAAACACAGGTAGATACCTTTGCCTTTGCTATTTTATGAATGAGAAGCTGAGCTGCTGACAGGTTTTTGACAACTGGTGATGCTACCAACTCTCACTAGCCATCCCTTTTCCCCTAAGAACTTCCAAAGCCCTTTATTACCTCATTCCCTCCATACCTGCAAGAACCCTGGCAAACTTGCCAGGTTCCTGCAATGATGCTCACAGCAACTCCTAGTGCCCATGAGTGGTGTGGATGCCCCCTCAAGTGTGACAAATGGAGGTCTACTCACTCTGAAAGTGACATGTACTCCCCTTTTCCTGCTTATGCCACTTAACTCTGCCTATTCTCTCCATCTGTATTTCCTTCCCGCCCTCTCCTTTTTCTTCTTCCTTCTGAGGTATGATTTAGTGGAAAAGCACGAACCAGAAATAAGAATTGGGGATCTTATTAGTCACATGACTTGGGGCACCTCCTGTCCACCTCTCACACATTCATCTGTAAAGAGCAATGATACCACCTACCCTGACTATCTTCAAGCACAATTGTTTGGAACAAATAAGGAAGCATACATGAAAGTGATCTGAAAGCTGAAAAAGAATACTAGCCGTGTGTGCATTTAATTCCTAGTATTCTTAGGCTCTTCAGAAACACACATGCTGCACTTCTCATGCTATAGACGGTTTGCTGTAGTGAGAGAAAGCCCTGATTCTTGTCCATTGCCAGCACCTTGATGGGTCAGAAAAGAAAACATGAAGGCAGGTAAATAGGCAACTGCAATGAGATAACTACAGTAATTCTTTTCCTTCTTTTTGCAGCCTTCCATGGGCTTTCCCACCATTCCATCCAAAGCAACAGCAATAGAGAAACTATCTTCATCACCCACCCCCACCCCACTCCACTGTCAGGACTCTTTACTCACTCCTGATTTCACTATGTACTTCTAAAATGTCCAGTCTTCTGTAGCACAATAATATTCTCTTTATTTACATGGTAATCACTATGCCACTGTTGACTGGGCACCTGCTGCATGTCAAACACAATCTCAGAATCATGCACAGATAATCTTCCATCTTCACGGCCACAGAATTTAAATATTGTCGGCTCCACTCTACAGATCAGGCTCAGAGAGACTAGGCAGCTCACCAGTGAAGGACACGCAGATCTAGCTACTGCTGCTTCCAGACCAGACATACAGATTGGAGCAGCACCATCTCCACTTCCTGCCTAAACTGCTGGCAAAGTGTTCTTTACACGCATGACTGTGTAGAAATCAAAGGGAAAGTCTATCATTAATATCCTATGAATGTTCAACCATAATGACATAAAGCATAAACATTTCCTCAAAAAAAAGACAAATGACCCAGTCCAGTAAGTACATTCACTTCACCTTTTAATATTTAATGCAATGAATAAATGTAATGTTAATGAATCCCTTTTACTAAGAAATAATACTTGTGTTTACAACAAAGAAGTTGGCAGGTACGACCTTATGCACGTGATCAAAGTTAACATCATAAGAAAGGAATAAATCAGTATCATGTGTCTCATGTGAAGAACACAGCATCTCTTCTGAGACATTCCTGTCAAAAAATGCATAAATTGAATCTGATCAGGAAGGAATATCAGACAAACCTAAACTGAGGAACATTCTAGAAAACAGTTGGTTTGTAATTCTTCAAAAGTGTTGCAGTTATAAAAGAAAATGAAAGACTGTTCTAGATTAAAGGAGACATGATAATTCTGGATTGGAGCCTGGATCAGATAAATGACATTAGTGGGAAAATTGGCAAAATCTGAATAAAATCTGAAAATTAAAAAGTAGTAGTGTATCAATGTTAATTTCCTGATTTTAATAATTATACTTATTACGAATGAGAGTGTCCTTGTTTTTAGAAGATACACACTGAAGTATACTTAGAGGTAAAGGGCATCCAGTCCACAACTTACTCTGAAATCTTTCAAAAGAAAGACAGATAGGGCCGGCCCGGTGGCGCACTGCTACAGTGCGCCGCTTGGGAGTGTGGTAGCGCTCCCGCCGAGGGTTCGGATCCCACATACAGACCAGTACCCGCTCACTGGCTGAGCGAGGGGCGGGCGCAGCACCGAGGGTTGCGATCCCGGTGCCGGACACGAAAAAAGACAAAAAGGGAAAAAAAAAAAAAAAAAAAAGAAAGACAGATAAATATATACAGAAATTCTTTGTACTATTTTTCTAACTTTTCATAAGTCTGAAATTATTTCAAAATAAAAATAACAGATAGGACTACTTATCAACACATAGTAAGTATTATATAGATGTGACTTGTAATATTCCTACCCATTCACTCCTAAGCACATAGGAGGATCAAATATGAAACCATTCTCACAGCCTGATATAAGCAATTCTGGGACCCATACATAATGTTCCAGTCTTTCCAATTTACAATGGTTCTACCCAAATAGAGCAGTGATATAATAGCCCTTTCCTTTTTGTGACAATGACTAACCATTTCTAACTTCTCAATTTCACAATTAAAATTCAAACAGGGCCGGCCCCGTGGCTCACTCAGGAGAGTGCAGTGCTGGTAGCGCCGAGATGGCAGGTTCGGATCCTATATAGGGATGGCCAGTGCGCTCACTGGCTCAGCGTGGTGCAGACGACACCATGCCGAGGGTTGCAATCCCCTTACCGGTCAGGAAAAAAAAAAGAAAATTCAAACAAAAAATCATGCAGCGATTCTACTTCCCATGAAAACACAGGCAACCACAATAAGATCTACGTATTACATTTCCCCACTTCATCCCTTTTCTAGCCAATATGCTTTCTCACTGAGCAAGTGGTATTTATACATCTGTGCAGCTACTAACCCCTTGCCCCCTGTCCTGCCATATGTGGTGTTTAGAAAGCCACAGAAAGCATATGAATATGAGCATGAATGTGGAGACTCAAGGTTGATATCCCTAAGATAAAGCTTAGACATCAGCCAACTGTGAGGATCAAATGTTCCTACAGAAGATGCATGCAGCCCTAAGCATCTGCATTTAATTTATGCAGGACAACTCATGCCCCCCCCCCCCCACCTAGGGAATCCAGTAGAGTAAATGATGGAACAGCATGTGGTTAAGCTTTCAAACCCCAAAAGATGGCTGGAGACAGGTGTCCAGGGAGTCACATGAGAAGCAATAATGGCTATGAGCCTTTTCTTCTCATGCATGAGGATAAGTGAATAGTTGAAAACAAGTTATGTAGCTGCACTTAACTCTGTTCTTGGGGGTCCTTATTAGCATGGTATTAGCAAGTTCTCAAAGAATATACAGAAGGGTCCAGGAACCTCAAATCTTTCATTACCCTTCACTACATGTCTGGGGTCAGACAGAATTTTCACTTCACAGACAGGAAAATTAGGGCCAAAGAAAATCAAAATGATCCCTAAACAACACTGTCAGCAAAAGAACCCAGAGAGGACCAAATGCTATGCCTACAGGAAGAAAACAAGTATCCTTAATTATTGCAATTGCCACCAAAAAAATATATATTATTTGACATCAGTAAATTACCCAGGAAGCCACACTGTTTCCATTTTATATTTTTTTTTTCTCATTTAGAGAAGTCAATCTGGATGAGAACAAGATCATCTACCCCCATTAAATTATGTGGCTCCAAACCAATGCACCACATTCTGGCCAAAATTAGTATGACAGGCTTCTAACTACATTTTGCCAATGGACAGCACTGGTGTGCTCCACAGGACTTTCTAAGGGCAGCTACAGAACCACTCCTTCTCTCTTTTAAATATGAAAATATTCATATTAAAGAAAAATGCATATTGAAAAAAATACCTCTTAAGTTTGATTACCATCAGGGAGGAGAAGAGAATGCTGTTTATGATAAATTTCAGATGAACATGGTTGCCTGAAGGTCCAAGAGCTTTGCCAACAGGCCTAGATGTCATTTAAACACTATCGCATCAATGGACTGTTTCTATTTACAAAACAACAAACTGAGGAAACTAAAATCAACAAGTAGCTTCTGAGGAACAAATCTACACCATGGAAACTAGAGAAAGATCAAGTAGGAGGCACCACAGTAAACAGGAAAGTGAGTAACTGAGGAGATCTCAATAAAGAGAAGCCCAACAATGAATAACACAAATACCACTAAAGGCTTCCCTAAAACAACTTTTAAACATAAGGTATGTAAACACTGTGAGAACCTAAGACAAGTAAAGACATTCTATAGTAAAGGTTTTCATTGCACATGATGATTAAAATGCCTTTTACTTCCGAGTGGCCGAGTCTGTACGAGAGGTTTCCAGTGGGGAGCATCATGATTGATTGCCAACATCACAAGCCAGAGGGAGGGAGGAAGACTGTTCACTATTTACAGGAATCCTTAGGAACAAGTGTATGACAAGCATTTGGGGGTTCAAGTTAGTGAAAAACAGTTTCAAGTGGCCTTTCCTTAGTACCCCCAAGCACATGTGATCACTTAGCAAACATTTGTGGGCAGTTACCATGAACAAGAAATGCATCATAACGATGTTGTCCCAGGCAGCACACCTGCCAGAGAACCTACAGGTAAGGAGCGTGGCGTAGCTGACAACCGCAGTGCACTTTAAAACAAGAATTACAACAGAAGAACAGCCAACATTATGAAGCCAGACAGAGAGGATACCATTACAGGTGATAACTCCTTTTCTATAAGATGCTTAAAGAACTCATTCATATTCTCCTTTTACTTCTCTCTGGGACTCAGAGGTGTGGCCATTTTCCATTAGAAGAGATGGATGATGAAACAAGCCCGGGGTTTAAGTCTAAAATCAAGGAGGCAAGTAAATGGCAAATGATATGGTTGAAAACTCACATCTCTCAAAACTCTAGCTGCTTATTGTTTAAGATACATGCATAATGGAGTTTGGAATGCATAGCACACGAATATATAAATAATTTACATTTTTTAAAAAAAGGACAGAAGGTCACAGACTGAACAGAATCTTCATTTTCTCAAATCAAAGGAAGTCCCAAAGGCCAGTATAGGTTATGGAATGGGAAGTGCAGATGGTTCAGTTCGGCTGGAGGTTAAACTCTAAGGCTGGAAGTTGAAATTGGGCTATAAATTCAAGGCTAAGGAGCTTGGCCTTTATTTGACAGGAACCATTTTTTAAATTTCTATTTTTCACTCATTTGCTCTTGTGGTTGCTTTTGTTTAACTTTGGAAACCACTTTTGAGCAATTAAGTGACATGATTAGAAAGTTAATCTTATAGTAGTGCCTAAGAAAGAATAGAAAGAAGGAATGGGGAGAGGACAGTTAGAAATCTACTGCAACCGTCCAGTTAAAAATACGGGTTCTGAGCAAAGTTGCAGAGGGAAACATGGAGAGGACTTGATGAGTGATTCTATGGGGAAGACAAGGTAGCGGAGGAGACTTCACATATAACCCCAGTGTTCTGAGGCTGGGGACTCAGAAGGAAAAGACCAAGCACAGGAAGACAGGTTTGGGAGGGAGAGTGAGCCGTTTGGAATCACCCCGATTGAGGGGCTGATAGGCCACTTCACAAGGAGCTGGAGGGGTGAGGCTAAAGCTCTGGAGAGAAAGCAGGCCCAGAAAACCCCTCCGGGGAACATAACAGGATGACATCAGATGAAACTTCCAGCAGAAAATTGTAAACCAAAAAAATAAATAAAATTTTTAAATGTCCTTTGGTGACAGGTGCTATACATGTCAATGGCACTCTAACAGCTTTTTTCAACTCTGGCAGACATTTTAGGTACCTGATCAAAAGACCCCCATGCTAGACTCCAACACCCCAGGGAATCTCTCCAGGCTCCTCCTTCAGCCTTCTGTTAGAAGTCCTCAAACTCTCGTTCAGACACTTCCAGTTTCTAATCTGTTGCCTCAAACTGAAGATTTAGCTTCTCTGTGCTGCCCCTTCGGACATGCCACTAGGATGGACCACAAACAATCCTCTGTTCCCTCAGCGGCAGGCTAACCTGGGCTCACATCTTTAAAGTCAACCCTACCTAGCCCAGGCCCACAGCCCAGCAACCAGCCACCCACAGAATTCTGGGAGTCCAGGACAGGAGTTCAGATACCTGCAGAGTAGGTCACTTCTTGAAGTCTACTTCAAAATCTCTTTAAAACAATTCTAAATCATCAGCTAAATGCATTTTCTACAGAATGTTTTAGAAAAGGCAATGTCTGAAAGTCAACATTCAGTTACTTAATCCTCTCAGCATGATGAGATGCAATCTCTAAAGCATGTTTCTTTGCCAATTTTATTTACAATGCAGACAATTCAGATTCAAACCAGCTTTCTCTATAACTGTAAAAAGGGGGAAACAGAACCTCCCTTTCTAAATCTGTGACTATATAAATATTTTTAATTATAAATATCTAACATAATTTTTAAAACAAACTAAACCAAACCAGAGATTAAATTTTGTTAGTTTTCATACCATAATGAAATCCATAATCAAAAATAAATAAAACTCTGGATAAATACATACATAAATAAATACATTCACATACATACCATTTTAAAAATCTAAAACCTAGAGTGGAAAATTTTTCAGATAAACATTAATGAAATTTAGTTAACATAAAGAAAACTACAAAAGAGAACACGGGTCTTTTATGAGGAAAGAATTATATCCTACACATATTCAAGTAACCATTAAAAACAAAAGTTTTATTTTTCATTTCCATCATTTCAAACTGTGTTTAAAAAGTGATCTTCTATAAAACCCAAAGGAAAGATATTCAAGGAATTTTACCTCTCTCGTATGTAAACCTTATCACATCCCTTCCTCTCTGACCTTCTTTAAGCAAAGCTGATAAATGGAAAAATGAAATCACTTGAGTTTCACATGGTGTCCACACCCAGATGCATAACAACAAGATGAGATAACCAAAAGGCAGATACAGTTATCTGAGTAATCACTGACCTGATAACCTCTCAATAATACATCCTGAATTTGTGGAAATCTTTTTCCTATTTTTCTATGGGTTTCATTTCCCTGGGTGGAGACCAGCTCTTACAGGGTCAAGAGGGCTAACTGTGCTTACCTTTTTGGCTCTTTGGGCTATGTCTGGTGTTCTTGTAAGCAGCTTCTCAATCAGGTATTCTCTGTTCTGCAAAACAAATATTCCCAACAGTTTAACATCAAATAAGATACATATAAATTCATAGTGATTTCAAAATAGCAAATTTACTTGGGTTTTTAAACATGTTACCTTGGCCTTCTGGAAGAATTTGCATTTTAAAAGTTCTGCTGCTGTGGGCCTGAAAGATCAATAATAAATTAGAGTTGAAACAATGACCACTTAATAAATACACTGCCTTGATGAAACAACTTAACCTTAGAGTATTTCTGGAAGACCAGTTTTAGGAATAGCAAAACCAGAAACTAAATTAATCATAAGCTGGCACCAAATAAAATAGTGCCAATCTTCCAGTTCTATCCAAACACCTCTACTGCAAAACACGTAAACTCCTATAAGTTAAATGCTAGGGCATGATCAATTTTCCATACTTCATCCTTACACTTCACTAAGTAAATTCAGTGTTTCTAAAAGGTGACAGACTGACACATCTTTAAGCTAAATTCTTATATTTATTAAGAAAACATACAAGCTACAGTATGACCCTGTCAAAGAAACTAGAGTCTACTATGCTCCATGATGCTCCAAGAGCAGCAGTTTCTGCAAAGGGTCTAGGGATCTTGTGTCCAAGCTCTGCTGCTGAATAAACCTGTCTCAAGTGTGTTAAGGTAAATGTAATGGTGATTAATAAAACGCAAATTCATTTAAAAGCATTCCTGGATGGGTCTGATTATTTCCTCATGGTGTCACTTCACATGTTTCTCTATCCTGTATTTCCTATAAACTGAAAGTTAGGTCTGAAAGTTAGGCTTGATTAAGATTAATAATGCATGTGGGGCAAGAATACTTCATAGACGGTGTCATGATTCTTCCTGCAGCACCCCAAAGGCAGGTACTGTGAGGTTATTCTACTGGGAATGATGCTGTTTAACTACTTGGTCCCCGGGCCTTAAACCTCTGCCTTGTAAAGGTATGTTTTCCCCACTGCAATTAGCAAGTGTTCTGTTGGGTGATACTTCAACCCTATATAAGTATCCTGTTCCTGAAAAGTGCCTAATGGCTCTAGCATCTTTGCCTTCAATAACTAATTTCACAGGAGGTGGCAGAATACTGGTTTTCTACTTCTATCATTCCTTCTATACTTATTAACTGACAATCTTACATAAAGAATAGCTTCCTTCATCAATAGTTCCTTCTAAAAATGCAGCCATGCAGAAAGAATCAAATAAATCCAGAGTGTAGGATGGCAAGCAAGACAACTGGCATGATCTTTTTAAAAAGTCAGTGTCACAGGAAAAAGGGGAGGTATGAGAGAATTGTTGTAGATTAAAAGAGACTTAATGAAACATAAAGTCAAAGCAGCACAAGACCCACGACTGAAACCTGGGTTTGGGGAGGAAGGGGCAAAAACTACAAAAGATATTTGGAAATAATTAGAGATGTGTGAATATGCTAGATATCAGATAATTTTAGGAAATTATTGTTAATTTTTCTTAGGTGTGAAAAAGCATTGTGGTTATTTAGGGACATTCCGTATTTATGGAAAATGCAACCTGAAATGTTAAGTCTGCTACTTACTTTCAAACAATTCACCAAACAAAATGTAGATAGACAAAGCAAATATGGAAAATGTTAAAAATGTTAATAATAAAATGCTGAATCCAGGTGATGGTATATAAGTAAACATTGTACTATTTTTTCACCTTTTCTGTATGTTTTAAGTTTTTCACAATAAGAAATTGGGAGGGGGGAAGGAAGCCTTATTGATCATCATTAGGTATTCTCCCAGGCAATGATTACCAAAGGTACAAATAGTATTATGTTGGAGGGTGGGAGTGTGCAAGTTTAAAAGGAGTCTTCAACTTGAAAAGACTGGACAACTGGAAACCACTGGACTCCTGGACAACCAGGAAACTCCACTAAAATGTTCCCAGGGACCAACCCCAAGTGTAAAAAAAAAAACACGTCATTAAGTGTATTGGTGTAAAAATAGTATAAGTCTACATGAGCCATGAGCTGTATTTCTGTGCAACGAAATTTTCTATTAAATTATTACTGCTTTTCTTCTCAGACATCAAGTGGAACACTGGTCACAGGTCCCTGACAAAGAACCCTAAATTTCTGTATCCACTCCAATAAACAGCTGCTAATTGCTAACTGCTTTGAGTAAACAAAGGTCTAAACAACAGGTGGGCCACATCACTTGGTAAACTCTTTAAAGTAATGTATTTGCGCCTTGTTAAACAGGCACTAGAACTAAAAACGATATAGTTATTTCACATGATTGAACTTTGGTTATTATTTTATTGTATATGCTTCCTGATCGTCAGCAATGCTTTTGGCTTCCAGCTACTTCAAATTCATCTTTCCATTCTCTCAGTATGTATTGAGCGCTTACTACTGGTCAGGCATTACGCTAGTGCTAGGCATACGAGTGAACACGACAGATGTAAACGGCACCTTCAACAGCTCCCAATCTAGCGGCGCAGGTCTGTGCATGCTGTTATGCTGCACAGGGAGTGGTAGAACAGCCACACGTCTCTGAACTGAGTATAGGTGGAAGAAGAAAGGCCGCTGAGACAGTACGAGGTAGAAACCTACACATTGGACTGAGCACGATTCTGTGTCATGTTGGTACCTCACAATGTGAAACAAAATTCTAAAAACCAGGAACCATACAAAATAACTTAGATTTCATTTTTAAAAAGTGAAAAGAACACTCAGGAAATCAGGATGATTAAGGAACTCAACACTACTCCCAACTGGTCTCTCTGCCCCTTTTCTCTTCCTCATTACAACTCTTCATCCACACTGCCTCCCAAATTAACGTGTGAAAAAAAACCCAAATCTGGTCCTTTCTTATCCATCCTACCAGATACTTCAGGGGCCTGAGAGAGAAGCAGGTTTTCTAGATCCTGACTCCTCCATCCTCATCTCCCTCACACCCCAGGTAGACTCTATACTTCAACCACAGTGACATTCTCACCCATCTCTTGCTCTCTCATGACAAAGCACACCCTGCTTTTCTTGCTTCAAAGTTTTTCATAACCAACTTGCACACCCTCACTCATCAGTCAAGAACCAATTTAAATGTCATCTGCAAGCTCCTACAAGTAGAATTCATCATTACCTCCTTTGCGCTCAAGCACACTCTACCCACTCTCCCATTCTGTATTATCTGTTCCTATGCCTCCCACCTCCACCCAACTAGGTAATAAGCCCTTCCAAGGCAGGGACCACAAAGGATTAATTTTTCTATCCCCAACGGCTAGCACAGAACAGAAAACTGCTATAGTTCGATTTCATACTACAATCAAATATGGGGTCAAAGTGATGCTGCTAGACATTTGGACACAGTACTATGACTCCTGGAGCTAGATTTAGTCAGCACCAAATTCTAAGTATCTGTTCAATATAGTGGGGAACAGGAGAAGGGTATAATGAAAATATGACTCATGCTGGCAAAAAAAGGAAAGGGGACAGTGGATGTGCTGAAGTGGAATCAAATGCTTTCCTCTCTCTGCTGCCCCCTTCTTCTAAGGAGGACTCATGAAAAGAGAAGGCTGGGAAATGTCAGACATATCTTGAGATACAGGGCTGGGAAAATACTTTCCCTTCCCCAGCAAGGTCATTTCTATGGTAACCAAAAGCAAAAAGAGGAAAACACCTTTCTCTGCACTCCACTCCACTCTCAGCCTTTATCAGCAAATACAAAAACCCAATGATGTAAAAAATTAGAAATGGTTTAAAGAACCGACCTTTTTTTAATAGGCTTAAATGTTAATAGGTCATTCCAACTCTAAACAGTGAATAACTAAATAGTAGGTCATTGGTTCCGTTTTGTGCTCAAATTAGCTGAAGGGTTTAAAGCTTTGTGGTTAAATCCTACATGTGCCAAACTATCACCATGAGAAAGTATGGAAAAATGGAACTGGAAGAAATGAGGGAAATGACAGAGGGAAGAAAATGACAGAGGACTTGAGAAAAGCTGAGGTGCCTGCTACCCATCTGATTTTAGTGCTTTTGTTTTTTTATTTATTTTAGTTTTATGCCACAGCAAGTACCAATGTATGGTTAAGAAGCATCAGAGCCACCTGCCTTTGAGCTGAACACTGTGAGAGAAAGAACTCTGCAAGCACGGGAATGTGTGACATGGCCACTGACAACTACCTAGCCATATACTGTCGTACAAATACAAACACTGTTTTACGAGAAGTGCCAAAATGCTACCAGAAACCAAGATGATGGTCCAGGCTTTGAATGATGATTCAATTTTAAATCCTTAAAAACAATGTGGTAGTCTGCAAGTATAAATATTCCCAGGAGAAAATCTCTTAAAGGATTCAATTAATACATATGGATGAACTAAAGTCTGCTGAGACTTAAAATGCTTTCCAAAAGATTCAGGATGAATATGATACAGTTTAAATAGTTTTAACGATTTACACTAATAAGTTCTAACAGCTCTTTGACCTCAGGCAGAGCTACTTTTCTCACCCCACTCAACCCCCCCTAAAATATTCCAGACTTATTCATTTCTTACAGATTTACCTACGCAACATCCACCCCCTTGTTTCAAAGAAAATCCTGGTTCTTTTTGTAGTTGCCATCCATACAAAGCATGTAATCTACAAAATCAATTTCTTTAAGGTTTTTTAAAGAAATAGCAAGATGACAATGCAGACTTTGATGAGGCAAACAGCTCCAACACCCAAGCTCTCTTTAATAAGGAAAGTCCCATGAGCACTCAAGGTTGACAAAAAACACAGACTACTCTAAGCTAGCCTGAGAGTTCCTGCATTGGAGTAAATCTGTCCTGGTTCACTGTTCCTCTATGATATTTTTTTATTCACTGCCCAAAAGGTGCTCAGCAATACGAGGGCTTTGGTACCACTCATCTGCTTTCAAATTACAAGTAGGTGATCTACATTCAGGCAACAGAAATAACAAAGATTAGTAAAAATCTTCCCTTCACTCTTCAATCTATTCAAAACTAGTTTTTGTTTCTGAAACTCTTTTCAGTGGGTCCAAGTCATCCGCAAGTTGGAAGCTCCCAATTGTCTCCATTTGTTCAAAAAATAGTATTGAGTATATAATACAGACCAGACACTGGATATAGAGATAAGTTGCACAGATTCTCCTTCTAAAAAACGTACAACCTCTTGAGGAATTTTGGTGTGTAAACAAATAAATGTATACAGTGTAATAAGTGCTACAAAAGACATATCTTCCATATACTGTAGTTAGTATATAAATGTTGCAACAACTCCACTTGGTGAGGGGAAAAGGACAAATAATGAATGCAACCTCAATTCCCTAAGGACTTAGGGACTCCTCAGGCACGGTGCTATCTGCTGTGTGCACTATCTCACTTCATCCTCAAAGCAATCCTACAAAGTAGGTCTTATTAGGCCCACTGTATAGACAAGGAAACCAAGTCACACAGGTGATGGATGATAAAGTATAGCTAGGAATCCCACCCAGAAGTATCTAATGCTAAGAAGATATGGCATTTTAACCAAGTAAAGAAAGACAGTGGAAAGGGATCAGAGGAAGAGCATGAGCTCTTGAACAGCATAAGCAAAAGGCAGAGGGGACTGAACCTACAAGTATTCAGTTTCTTTCAGAACTGTGCAGCGATTAAATGTTTACTTATCAATTTAGTGGTGAATACATATTTTAAAATTGCATCCTATATAAAATCTAATTCAACAATATTGCTTTTTTCCATTCTTAGATTTCATGAATCATTTTTTTCCAAGCTCCTTACATACATCTTCAATATCTGTGTCTTTTCATTAAAAGAAAGAGCCACTTGGGAAGTTGATGCACCACTAACAGTCTATACCTGTTTGTTCCAGGGGATAATTGCATAATAGTGATATCTAAAAGAAGTCCTTAAGCTATTAATATTTTGTACATCAATAGGGTTGTTAAGAGGGTACTCTGAGGGAAAATTTTTGTAAGAATTTTAATAAATGGTATATGGATCTTTTCTAAATGTTTTTTGGTGGAATAGAGGGAACCTAATATTTAAGCTCATTTAATAAATAAAATCTGAAAACACTTTCAAGATTATTAAGAAATAAAAATGATCTACTAAATATAGGTATGTCAATCTAATTTCTTTTGACCAAATTATGAAGAAATATATTGTTATATCATTAAGTACAAGGGTACTTCAAAAAGTTCATGAAAAGATTTGAATTGTCTTTTAATTCTATTTTTCCATGAACTTTTTGAAATAAGTATTCTCATACACTAACAATTCTACCTTACAGAGCCATTTTCTTAAAAAGCTGGAATAGTAAAAAACTCATAAAAAAAAAATTAAAAAGTAAAATAATTTTTTTAAAAAGTAGGAATTGTGTGACATTATACATCACAACCACTAGGTGGGATCTCAACTAGTTCAAGAATTACAAAGATCATTAGAAATAACCCACTTGTAACTGGAAAGACAAGTACTTCTCTCACTGGGTTATGGAGGATCAAATTCTCTTTCCTTGGTGAGGTCAAAAATTTACTTTTGGAGAGGACAACAAATACAAGGGAAAGACAAGCAAGTGCTGAAGAACAAAATTAGAATCTAAGAGCATTTTCACCCAAAAGGAATGTGAAGAAATAACCTCAATGAAAGATCAAATAACTTTGGAGAGAAAATGAGGCCTTGAAATCAAATATAAAGGACAACTGAGATGTTTAAGCAGAAATAGTCTATAGGTATAACAAAATAATCGTAACTTTTACAATAAATAATTTCAACATGCTTAATAGTAAACGGTCTTTAGACTTGGCTTCCAGGAGAAAGGTGATTGATGTGGAAAAGATTTAAGGCAAATTCAGTAAAGTTAAGAAATGAAGAGAGCAGCTATAAAATTATGGATATTGTGTTTAATCTAGAGAAGGATAGCCTATTCAAACAGTAAGATACTGTGTTAAGGTAAAAGGCTTATTAACAAGTTTCATAAAGAATTCGAGATAAGAATGAAAGAATCACTTCTAAAAGCAGGGTCCTTCCCTGAAAAAGAAAGTTTCAGAAGAGAATTCAGTTATTACATCTTAAGACAGAAGTATCAAATTGGATCCCTGAGTGGGGGTTATAGAAGCCAGTAACCTCTCAGAGGCTTGTCCAGGTCTATGTTAGGATGATGTCATACATAATCAAATCCCGGCAAAAGCCTGTGTATAGTTCACATCATTCACGTTCTCCTTTATGTGATCAAGAATACCTGGCTCCATTATCACTACCCAAGATATTTCAAAGTCACAGATACTAAAAAGGAAGAAATGAACTCAGAAAATAGATACACTCCAGCGCAGGCCAATGCTCAAGAATAAATAGAAAACACTAAAGTTAACTTAAAGCCATTTGCTTCTGTTTATATGATTAATCTTTCTAAGGTAAAAATCTCCTTAATCTTCTTTACTGATAATCCTTTTTTTTTTTTTTTTTTTTGCCCTTTTTGAGACCAGCCGCACCGTGCTCAGCCAGTGAGCACTGTGAGCACACCGGTCTTCCCTATATAGGATCCGAACCCGCAGCGGGAGCGCTACTGCGCTCCCAGCGCTGCACCCTCCTGAGTGGCCACGGGCTCGGCCCTTACTGATAATCTTTTAAACAACACAAACAACTTGTTCTGCAACTAAAAGAGAGCTCATGCAAAATTCAATAGCTCTGCCTGGTTTAGGCTTGAGCTAGCAGGATATCCAAATCCTGAGAGGTCAGTTCAACCTACACAGTGCAGAATATTAGCTCAGCTTCTGAATGCAGCACTGCCAATTTCTTTTGATTTCTGTTTTACTTCATTTCCTTTGATGACAGAGCCCACACCTAACAAGCACAGTGAATCTGATTAACGTCAAAAATTTCCCTCTGCCTCCCCCTCGTCCTCCACTCACTTCTCTCCCTCTTGGACCCACGCTGTCTTCCACTAAAAGGATGGGAATCTGGGTGCCAGAGCAGGGATTCCCTTGAAATTAGAAGCACTTCCCCAGTGTCCTCACACAGCCTTTCGCCATCCACAAACAAAGCTTTGTCGTAACTCAAACCAGGTCATTAACTCATCCACTAAGTTTGACATACCTTTTGGAAGGATCTTTCTGAAGACACAGTGAAAGTAATTTTCTAAAGGACTTGCCATACTTTTTCATCATTTCTTTATCTTCTACTCCTGTTTCTAAGGTGGGTGGATCATTTTGCAAAGTCAACATTAACACCTGCAGCAGAAACAAACGTGAAGACAAAGTCTCAGTATGGCAATTGCTACAATTAAGTTCTTAATTTTTCACAAAAGCATCAAAGACCATCCATAATTAGGTGTAAACGTGCTTTCCCAGGATTTTAACTTTTCAGAAATTGTGTATTCAAAGTATTCATTTTTCCTCTGCAAATCTATTCATGTACCCTTTTACCCTTTTTGTTATTCCATTGACAGAACTTACAAAACTTCCTCTATGTGTTAAAAATGATCTCCCAAAAGGACTGGAACAGAACTTTCTGGGAACTGTCTTTCATACCGCCTCCAGGAGCAAGTAGCTCCAGCACTGGCTGGTTGGGAAAGCGGGTGGCAGAGGGGAGAGGAAGAGAGGGTCAGAACAGCAGTGAACATTCATGTGTACAGGTCATTCATAAGAAAGGAACTGCCTGTACTCAAGACTTCTGTAACACATTACCAACCCTAAAAATAAAACCACAGCATCCCAGGAGGTAACATGATTTTTTTTTTTAAATGAGAAGACATACAGAAAATTGCTAAAAAGTCTTGGCAAAATTGAAACAGCAAGAAACTGAAAGATAGCCAGAATATAACTGAGCTGCTAAAAACCTTAATTGGATCAAAAGGCCATGCTGCTTTTGGAGGGAGACGAGACAAAATAAAATACCATTTCGAATCAAAAAGGTAAAAATTCCACTCTTTCACATAAACATCAAAATTATTTGCTTAAAAAAAGTAGAATGTGTAAGAAACTATTGACCTATGAAATGAATAAAGCTTCATTAATGTGTAAATCAGCCTCAATTTATGCAAGTGCTATACATGTCAAGACTCTTTTCAAACACTTTCAGATGTGTGAATAGATGAAGGATGAAAGTGACAGTTTACTGTTTGTGGAGAATAATAGCCAACAGGAGTGGGGG